TTCGGGCGCCTGGGCTGAGCGTCCCCCCTGCTCCAGCCCCCTCCTCCCAGCCAAGGCGTGTGGTGGCCTGGTTGACCCCGGCTTGCAGGATCACCTGTGTGTACAACAGGCTTTGCTGCTATTCCCCCGTCAAGTCCAGATGCATGCATTGCCACTGGCTCTTTCTTCTTTTGTGATTGATGATTTCCCCAGAGCTGCGTGGGAGCTTGACAGACACACGAATTACACCCATTTGGGTTTGGCCGTGTTCTCCCCAGCATCAGTCATTCTAGAAAAAATTTACAATTTTTACCATATCTGGGTACTTGCCACCGGCACTTTTATTTACTTCATTTTTCTTTAAATCAATTTATTTTTAAAAACTTAAATAATTTTAAAAAAATTTTTTTACAGAGGCTCCATGCCCAGTGAGGAGCCCAACACAGGGCTTGAACTCATGACCCTGAGATCAAGACCTGAACGCTTAACTGAGCCTCCCAGGAGCCCCTAAATAAATGTATTTAATTTTTAAAATTTATTTATTTTTAAAGACTTATTTATTTATTAGAGAGAGAGCAGAGTCAGGGGAAGGGTAAAGGGGGAGAATCTTCAAGCAGACTCCCGCTGAGCAGGGAGCCTGATGTGGGGCTCAATCCCAGGACCCTGAGATCATGACCTGAGCTGAAACCAAGAGTTGGACACTTAACCAACCGAGCCACCCAGGTGCCCCTAGATAAATGTATTTTAAAAGGAACTTTGATCACTCCTATAAATGGAAAACCAGAATCACTTACCATAAATAGATTGCTCAAAAAATAAATGCAAACTAGTTACATTAAAAAGCATGTCCTTGTTCTACCTAAAATCAAATAGTGTGTCACCCGTATGGCTTTGGGAAGTGTGGGATTCGACACAGGATCCGAGGGCATTAGTGAAGCATATAAAGTTTAGGATATTCACTGGAAGAAATGCAGTTTCAAGTTCTTCATGCATCTTGTGGGGCGGGAGGGGTGCTGTAGCCACTCACCTTTGGCACAGTTCTTAGTGCTGGTGGTCATTGTCCATGTCCCAAGCTTCCTCTTGGGGCCAGCATCTGCCTGTGGCTTCACTGACGAAGGCTCCTTCAGCCTCTGCTTGAATATGATCAAGTGACAGGGGCTCAGTACCTGCGAGACAGCCTGAGCCGGTTGTTAAAAGAGCCTCCTGTGCACTCGGAATTACCTCCCTGGCCTCCAGAGTGGCACCAGGTCAGTCTTTGGCCTTTTCCACAAGCTCCTCATGATTCCTCCAGCTATTTGAATGCCTGTTCAGATGTTTTCAAGGGCAGTTGTTTCAGGCTCATTAGCCTGTACTTTGTGGAATTCACTGTATGGCTTGCCTTGGTGAATGATGGCAGTTGGGTTGTTAGTGCACATGTGGTGTCCCCTGCTGGGAATGCCTTCACCCCTTTCCCTACCTCCTAACCTGGTTGGCCTCTTTTGCTCTTCAGATCAAAGCTCAAAACCTTACCTCCTCCAGGAAGCCTTCCCTGACCACCACCCCCTCACAGCCTCCTGTACTTGTTCATAGGTCTTGGCTATGTATTTGTGAAATAACCTAGTGAACATCTGTCATCATTTTGACTTTCCTTGATTTTGGCTTGTGGGTTCATTCATTGGTTTGCCATACCTGGCATCTGGATTCCAGAGAGGAGACTTGTAGAGTAACTGTTGGTTTTGAAGCTTCTGTTCCGGCAGCATCAGGACACCTGCCTTGTCACAGGAGTCTGGTTTCTCAGGCCTGTCTGGCCTCCAGCCACATAAATTCTTGACTGGACTTGAGAACAGATCTAGGAACGTTTCTAGATGTCTGAGGCGTTGGACTGATTTCTTCCACGTCTTCTCCCGAAAATATTTTGAAGCTTTTAATCAGAGTTCTGTGGTAGTTGAGTGAGGGAAGCTGCTCTTTTTTCTTTAAAAATACATTTATTTATGTAAGGAAGTATGAATCAATTTGAACAAGAATATTAATAATACATATTGATATTGGCAAAAGGAAGCCCACTGATGACTAAAGTTCAGGCAACACTGACGTAGACTCTACCTTGGTGACCAGTGAAGAGTCCTGTTGACTTTGCCTCCTACCTGTCTCCAGACGTGGACAGCCATGCCTTCATCTCGAATACCGGTCCCCTCAACAGGCTTTTGTTGGTCATCAGAGAAGTGCCAGCATCAGCATACATCCCTGCCTGTGGGAGCTCACACGTTGCTGGAGGAGAGAGATAACCAGTACAATGCAGTAGGGGACGTGCAGTGCAAGGTGGTAATCCAAGGGCTTCAGGAGGGCCTTGGAACCCAGACGGGTTCAAAGGTGGTAGTCTTGAAAGCCTGTTGGGGATGGGCCAGTAGACGAAGGGGGCTAAGCGGGCAGAAAGGTCAACACGCGCCATGGGTCACCTTCTCTCTTTTCCTCTGTGCAGATCCATATTTCCAGTTAGTACTCTTTTCCTTTCACCTGAGAGACTTCCTTTTACATTTCTTTTGTGTGGATCTGTTGGTGATGCTGTCTTTTAGCTTAAGACATCTGAAAATATATTTCACCTTTGTTTTTGAAAGATACTTTTGCTGGGTATAGAATTCTAGGTTGGCATTTCCCTCTCTCTCAGTGCTTTAAAGATGGTGGCCCACCGGCTACTCACCTGCACTGTTTTCCCTGGGAAATCTCATATCTTATCTTTTTCAGTATGTAACATGCTTTTTTTTTTCTCCAGCAGTTTTTAAGATTTTCACCTTGTCACTAACTTTGAGCAATTTGATTATGTTGTGCCTTAATGTAATTTTCTTCATTTTTCTTGTGTTTGGTGTTGATTGGGATCTCGGATCTGTGGATTTATGAGTTTTATTGTGTTTGGGAATTTTTCGGCCATTAGGAGAAAGTCAAATATTGTTTCTGTCACCCCCTCTCATCTCGCCATCAGGGATTCCAGTTACATGTATATCAGGCCCTTTGAAGTCACGTCATAGTTTGATGATGCTCTGTTCACTTTTTTTTAAAGATTTTATTTATTTGAGAGAGAGAGAGAGCATGACCGGGGCAGAGGGGCAGAAAGAGAGAGAAGAGAAGTAGACTGCCTGCTGAGCAGGGAGCCCAATGCAGGTCTCCGTCCTAGGACCCTGGGATCATGACCTGAGCCGAAAGACGCTTAACCAACTGAACCACCCAGGGGCCCTGCTCTGTTCATTTTTGTTAAATTATTTTTTCCTCTCAGTTTCATTTTGGATGGTTTCTATTACTGTATCTTCAAGTTCATTAATCTTTTCTTCTGCATTGTATAATCCAGTATTGATTTCATCCAAGGGGTTTTCCGTTCCAGACTTAATGTATCTTAGGTGCTACCTATGTAAATAAAATGTAAACATTATTTAGTACTGCTCATTTGCCATTAGTTATAAATATCAGTAAGTTGCACTGTTACTAGTAATTAAAAATAAAAGCAGTTCTTTTCCATCGGAAAAAAATCTGGTGTAGTTGCCATCTCTAGAACTTCGATTGGGATCTTTTCTTTTATCTTCCATGTCCCTACTTAACTTTTGGAGCATATGGAAGATAGTTGTAACTAATTTAATGTCCTTGTCTGCTAATTCCCACATTTGTGTAGTTCTGGGTCAGTTTAGACTGACTGATTTTTTTTTTTCTTCTGCTCATTATGTGTGATATTTGTCTTCTTTGCATGTCTGATCACTTTTTTAAAGTAGTTGCCAGATGTTGTGAATTTTACTTTTTTTGGGTGCTGGATATTTTCGTATGCCTATAAATATTTTTGCACTTTGTTCTGGGATGCAGTTAAACAACTTGGAAACAGTTTGATCCTTCCAGAGCTTGCTTTTAAGATTTGGGAGGCAGCACCAGAGCAGGTTTTGGTCTAAGGCTAATTACTCCCCACTACCGAGGCAAGATGCTTCTGAGAACGCTACCCAGTGCCCTGTGAATTATGAGATTTTCCAGTCTGGCTGGTGGGAACAGGCACTATTCCCAACCCCGTGTGAGGTCCGGGCAGTGTTTTCTTTCATTTTTCAGTGTGATTTTTTCCCTGGCCTCGGGTGGTTTCCTCACTCACGTGTGCTGATCAGCAGTCTATAGAATGCTGCCTCATTCAGAGGGACGTTCTGCAGATCTGTGCCCTTCCTCTCTCTCTGGGTAGCCCCCTCCTCTCTGATACTCTGTCCTGGGAACTTCAGCTGCCTTGGTCTCCCAGCCCCTGGCTCTGTCCCTCAATTCCGGGAGTCTGCCAGGCTCCGTGTGGTCCTGCCTCCCTGCACCCACAGTCTGGAAACTGGAGGCACTCAAGGGGCTCACCTCATATGTTTCCTGTGTCCCAAATCATTGTTCTTCACTGCTTGATGTCCAGTGCAGTGACTCGAAAACTGTTGTTTCATTTGGTTGTCTGGTTTTCTAGTTGTTTCAGGTGGGAGAGTATATCCCACAGGATGCTTTTTGAAATGACAACCAGGCTGCAAGCATTATCCTCTGTGTATGTGTGTGTGTATTTTTGTTTGCACGTTATTTTGGTTTTTATAGGTTAATATCTTCATTATTGAAAGCAAAACCTCCTAAACTGTGAGCTACAAAGATTTGCCAGAAATTTAGTTAGTTTTCACAAAACTAGCGGTTGGCTCCTGGTTACAGAGTATTTAGCTGCAGGTAAAATCGAGCCTGTGTTTGAGTAGAGGCAAGATGGGGTCAGCCTCCCCACACATCCCTGTGACACCATATCACTTTGACACCGGCTGATTGATTTCACATTGCCCACATATGCACCGTTAGAGCCACTCGGCTCTTGGGCGGGGGGTGGAGGGGTGCAGCAGGAGATATGTTCAAGGTGGGTTGACTTGTAATCAATATGATGACAATATTGCCTTGTTTAATTTGTATGATGGTGGTTTTAAACATCAAATCAAGCAGTTGATTATGTCAAAAAAGATGAAGGAGCACAGAATAAACTGTCCTGACATCACTTCTGAGCTCATGTCCCTGCCCGGCAGGCCATCATGATTGGAGATGACATCGTGGGAGATATTGGTGGTGCCCAGCGGTGTGGAATGAGAGCCCTGCAGGTGCGGACGGGAAAGTTCAGGTGAGTGCCCCGCACGTGGTCAAGTTCACCTGCCTGCCTTCCTCTGTGGATTCCTGGGGTATCCATGTTTTTGTTTTGTTTTCTTCCCCAAAATAAAGGAGGTTGTTCTTTTAAAAAAGAATGTTATATGGACATCTGCTGACCTCTTTGTAACTGTCCTCTAAGGACAGGCCTCGCTGACCTTTTCATCACAAAGAGTGGTCAGGTAAAGCAGCTTTTGATACAGGGTCCAAGATTCAAAACTGGGATTTGGATGGGGTGGAGTGTGGAGACAAGAGAGCAAGGGCTCCAGCTGTCCCAGGCCATAGCAGGTTGGGCTGAATTTGGGCCGTGCTCCATTGGGCAAGGTGGCCAGAGCCTTCCCTGCCCATGGAGCTTCCAGCTTGTGGGCACCTGGCTCCTCCTGGTCACCCTCCTTCTTTTGCTCTGCCTTCTCTGTTTGTGGGGGACAGAGAACCTAGGGACGGCAGGCCTTCAGCAAGGGTGAGGTGATGTGATGGCGTCCGTGATAGCATCTCCCTTCCGGGGACAGCCGCCTGGCCTCTACGGAGGCTGGGTTCTGTGCGCCTGACAGCAAGTGGGGAACTCTCTGCTGCTGGTCACTCTCTGGAGCCGCACTGTTGAGCATGGTGGTCACAGGCTGCCTTGAACTGTGGCTGCTGTCAGTCGGATGTGCTGGAAGTACAAAATACAGATTTCAAAGACTGAAGGGGAGAGAAAAAACCTGAAAAAGCTCACTTGTCATGTTTTATACCGATAACATGCTCAGAGGCTGGTATCTTATGTTAATTTCACCTGCTTATTTTTATTTTTGTCAGTGTAGCTGCTAGAAAGTTCTTGCTGGCCTCCCTGGCTCACATCAGGGCTCAGTGCATTTCTGTTGGGCGCAGGGGCCCCTGCACCTCCCCCTTTCCCCTGCAGATGGCACTCGCGACACACAGACCCCAAAGGACAGCCCTGGAGAAACCATGTGCTCTGCGGGCCCCCGTGGGGCTGGGAAGCCACAGAGGCCTCCATGGTACCCTGCACGGGGACCACTTCATGGTGTTCTCTGTGGTTCTCCCGTGTGGGTCAGCTTCCCTCCAAAACGCAGTCGGGTCTTCCTGAGCTGACCTTTATCTAACTGGAGTTACTGCATGTTTCACCAAGCATAACTGGTTCTTCCTGGTGGCCCTGCGTCCTCCGTGCTATGAACACACCCCACTCTTCCCCTTCCCTGGCAGGGACACTTGGGTGGGTCCCGGTTTGGCCATTCTTTGAAGTGCCGCCAGGAACACCTGATCCATGTTTCCTGGGCATGTGGGCATGAGTCCTCGTAGGGTAGGTCTGCTTAAGATGTAATTGCTGGGTCATGGGGAACGCATATGGTCAACTTTACCAGGTAATGCCAGACTTCCACACTGGTGGTGTGGGTTTATGCTCCGCCTGTAGTGGGCAGGACCCCACTTGCTTCTAGTCTCTTTCCCACTTGGCTGTTTTGAGGGGGAAGCCTGTGTTCTTGCTAGTTTACGGGCTTAGGGGCCTCAGGGGCAGTGTCAGCACCCAGCAGTCCAGTCTACCTGGATGCTGGGCCCCCTAGGGCAATGGGGAGGGACCCACAGGGGCCTCGGGTGAGAAGGCATGGGAGAGGCAGAGGTGGGCATAGGTGGTGAGGTCAATGTCTATGAGGGTGGGAGGGGCGGGGGGGCAGACACGCCCCTCTTGGCCCTGCCCTCCGGCTGTGCCTGGGTTGGACTTCCTCCACACCTGCTCGGTTTACCTGCTCTTTGATTGGCTGGTGGTGGAGGGACAGTGTCTGGCCCCTCATTTTAGTGCATGCATGCCCAGTAGGGGTGATGTTGCCCCCAAGGGGGTCAGAATTCCTCTTAAGGGTGAAAAAACTTAGAAGTACCATGGTTGGGACCTTCTGAAGGGCCATAGTACATAAACAGGGTGGGGTGGTGGGCACCTTTTGTTTCTGTCTGTGCCAAGTGTGATTCTTGGGTTCCTTTAGGGTCACCCTTGTGCCCCCAGCCCCCCAAAGGCACAGGCCTGGGCACGGGACTCAGGCTTAGCCAGTCTGAAGCCTGCAGAGCTCCTGGCCACAGTTGATGGGATTGTGATCTGAGTCGGGCTGGTGAGTTAGCCTAGGATTTTCCAGAACCCCTAGGAAAATGGCCAGTGAAGTATAAGCCAAGAAGTTCCAGTGGCCATTTTTGGTACTCCAGAGAGAACCCTGATCAAGGATGAAGTTAACAGTCAGGAAAGCAGAGTCTAGAGATGGGGAGAGAGAGATTTCAGTGACATCGTTGGAGCATCTGGATCTAGCTCTGCCTGAAGCTGATCCCTCCTCTGGCCTTTTTGGTAAAGTGGGCCATTAAATTAGGATTTTTATGAGCAACAACAGCAAGGAGCACGGTGGTACCTCAGCATCGGTGCATACAGCTCTGTGGTCTCCCTGGCTGGTTAGCCATGTGGGCTTCTTTCTGATGTATGCCCACTAGGGAGCCTGCCCTGCCCCAGGGCTTCCCTGTCTTTACGTGCCGATGATGTCCCCATGCCACCCTTTTCAAGGGGCAGATAGAGACTTCCACAGTGGCCTTTAGCTCACGCCACTGATGGCTTTCTCCCTGCTATAGAAAGTTCTGGAAAGAACCTCATTTAACCTCAGAGGAAACTGCCTACAAAGGTTTGCCAGAGCCGTCTCAACATAGAACGAGCTGCCTGGAGAGGGGGTTGTCCTCATCACTAGAGATGACCTGCAGAGGCTGGTGGACCTCCTTCTGGGGAGGCTGGAGAAGGGGCAGCAGCAACATGCGGCGAAATGAAGCCTCAAACCCATCCTGAGGCTGCCGATGTTGGATCAGGTCTTTTCTGTGCCTCTGGTCCCTGGGACGAGCCCAGGAGGCTGGTCCTGTTTCCCCGCTGACAGACGCAGAGGTTTCAGTGCCACACTCCCATTTGCGGAGGTGGAAGCTGAGGCCCTGTCATTCAAGCCTCACATTCCACCTGGTCTGTGACCTCCTGCTCTAGGTGCTGGGCCATTGTCACCGGAGCTGGAGCCCAGCCGTGGAAAACCAGGGGTAGAGATGGAGCCAGGCATATAGACATCCAAGTAGCGAAGAGACTGGAAGGAAGGACATCTGATTGTTACAGATGATGTAGTTAAGTGTCTTCTCAATATTTTATGATGAGACTCCAAACGAGTTATTTTTTTTTTAAAGATTTTATTTATTTATTTAACAGAGAGAGACACAGCGAGAGAGGGAACACAAGCAGGGGGAGTGGGAGGGAGAAGCAGGCTTCCCGCGGAGCAGGGAGCCCAGTGTGGGGCTCGATCCCAGGACCCCGGGATCATGACCTGAGTCGAAGGCAGACGCTTAACAACTGAGCCACCCAGGCACCCCAAGAGTTACTTTATAAAGTACACTTGTGCCCCCCACCCATAGGTTTGTGAATTTGGAAGATTCAAAAAAACCACCTAAAAGTACAACTTCAGGGGCACCTGGGTGACTCAGTCGGTTAAGTGTCTGACTCTTGATTTTGGCCTCAGGTCATCATCTCAGGATCATGAGATCGAGCCCCCTGTTGGGCTCCGTGCTGAGCATGGAGCCTGCTTAGGATTCTCTTTCCCTCTGCCCCTCTTCCCCCTGCTGCTCGCACTCGCACGTGCTCTCTCTCTTGCTCTCAAAGAAATTAAAAAAAAATAAAGTACAGCTTCATTAGTTTACAAACAGAAGCCAACCCAAGTACCCCAATATCCTCAAGCCTGCGTGCAGCTCTACCCTGACCCCCGGTGCCCAGAGAGGACCCCTCCTCACTCACAAGACTAAATCACTGAAAATAGGTCTCTTCCTGATGGAAGTCTCCCACCCCCCAGCCTGGCTGCCCCGGTGACGGCTCACCCAGCTCCTTCTGCCTCCCCTTACGACGTGACACAGCCAAGGTGCATTCTGCACCCTCCGAGGTGTTTCATCCAGAAGGGATCAGGGCAAGGAGCTCCGGTCCCTGTGGCAGTGAAACCAGTGCCTTCTCTGGGCTGGGTTACCCCTGCCCTTGAGACGGCCCCTCCGTAGACCCCAGAATGGGGTGGGGGCTTTGGCGTGTCACCAGCAGAGGGGTCTGAGCCAGCCCTAGCTGGAGAGGGGGCGTCGGAAGTCTGTCTCCAGCTCTCCTAGCTGAAGGGTCAAGCCAGCCCAGCTGTGTCATATGAAGCCAGTGCCCTGTGTCATCTAAGAGGGTTGGGGTCACCATGAAGACCTACTGCTCCCTGAGCAGGACCCCGGGGGACGGTGCAGCCTGGCCTTCTCTGTGTTCTCCAGGTTCACCCCTGTGCTCTTCCTTCCTGTTCTCACACCCTGCCCATCCTGTCCGCCCTGGGCGACGTGCCTCCTCCCAGATCTGGTAGGGTCAGCTTTCATTTTCCCTTCCTCCCTGCACTGCCTGCTGCTGGGGCCGCTAGAGGGCGCCGTGCTGCCGGTCCGGGGAGGGGCCGGATGCACACCCACTCACACGTGACCTCCCTGCCCCACACACTCACACCCAGGTCCCACACCCTCACGCATACATACCCAGGCCACACGCACTCACACATATCCACACCCAGGCTCCCCCCACTCACACACTCACACCCAGGCCCCCTCAGACTGCACACAGGGGCCTGCTGGCCACGCCCACTTGCATGCCCCCTCCGCCTCCCAAGCTGCTAGGACTGGGGCGGCAGGCCTGGGGTCCTGCCCTCCCTCCGGACCCTCGCCCTCTTCCGCTGCCCTCCAAGGCCTGGAAAACATGGAGGTGCTGGGTCTCGGGGTTTTGCTGCCAACTGGGGCCCCAGGAGTTAAAGCAGGTGGAGCAGCCTCGCGGCAGCTCACCAGCCCTTTTTCTTTTTTGCATCTCGCCCCTTCTCAGGGGAGAGGAGCCTGAGACCCGCGAGTGCTCTGAGCTCGGGGGCCTCCCAGCCTAACCTGCGAGCACAGTAGAGGCCGGGTCTCCACTTGAGGAGGCAGCCCTCCAGCTCCTTG